AACCATTAAATGCAAAAGAATGGAAAATAGTAATCATAATTTAATTTTCAATTAAAATCAATAATTGAATAAAAATGAGATAAAATTATTGTGTTTAAAGCGAGACCTTATTTTTTGCGCGTTAATGACGATTACACTTACTCAGACATTAAATGATTAGTTAAGAGAGAAAGAAAAGTAAACACTGTCTTAAAGCTAAAAGTGCAATAAAACGCTCTTCACTCAGCACTTTCGTTTCATAACCACGCAAAAATGGTTTATATCCTACAGCTATCATATATTGCATTACAATAAGAGTCAACAGAATATTAATGCTAAGAAATAATACATTTGTATATGTAATAAAATGTTTGAATTATAACTTATTTAATGTGTATATTATAGTAGTTGGCAACTGTTTGCTATTATTGTGAGAAATTAAATAAGAAAAGAATTTAATATATAAATATTCAATATATCCATTGAATATGCAATGAATAAAGTGAATGCAATTCTGGTCTCTCTATTCTGTACCACAATATAATGACAATGACTTCGATTCCATTGGACCCACAATTCTCTTATAGTCTTATTCTTTGTTTGGTTATTGATTTTAAGAGCACTACTGCTAATCAAATGATTAAATTATATCATACGTTATATCAAATAAATATTGATTCAAATTTATACGATCGCAATTGTAATTATTCTCGACTTAAAAATGAGCCTAAAATTAATGGCAATGAAAATGAGGCGAAAAAGGAGTTAAACTAATGTTTCAAACACTGATTTTTAAGTGATTCTCGCAGTAATTATTCGCCAAATAATTATGATTTATAGCGTCAATAAATTTAATATACAGTTAATAATGCATCAAAAACTTTTTAATAACTTAAATGTGTTGCCAATGAGTATTAAATGGAAAAGAAATGTTCAAATGTTATATAAGAGAGAAAAAGTCATTTTTAAGGTTACCAAAAATAATAACTCTATTATAATAGAGACATGTATTAAAATAATAGCATAAATTCAATTCAATTATGTATTTTATTTATTGCAAAATTATTGTACGAAATAAAAAGTACAAACGCAACAATTATATTATGCGTTAAATCACAACTTTTTTGGCCATAATTTAATAAAAAGAATTACTTTCAGAGAATTGAAACAAAAGTTAATTAAATAAAGTGAGAGAATAGTAGTAATTACTCTGAAAACGAAAATTAATTTTAATTTCGTTTATGATTATTATAGCAAATTGTTTATAAAATTTAAAGTATTTGGTTGTGTGTGTTATGCATAATATGTTGTTATGTATTCACTCTTAGGTCTAATTAGAAGGACTGGCAGTTTGAGAGAGAAAAGAGAAAATTAAAATTCTAGACATAAAAGATGCACAAAACTAATCAGAGTATTATATTAATGAGACGCGGATGTGATGTAAATCAAGTGGGAGTTTCTGCTAACATTTGAATTGAAAACAAACACTATTTTCCACTAATAATCAGTCACTCGTCCTAACATATACGGCAAACAATAGTGAACTGTATGTTAACGGCACAGAACTCTGCTATGAGAGCACAACTAATGCTAACATTTGAATTGAAAACAAACACTATTTTCCACTAATAATCAGTCACTCGTCCTAACATATACGGCAAACAATAGTGAACTGTATGTTAACGGCACAGAACTCTGCTATGAGAGCACAACTAATCAATTATGTGATCATATCATCATTTTTCATAACAGATAAGTAGTAATTGTTTCCAAAAAGTAAGAACCTTTCAGGAAATATATGATCCCTTATGTTATGTTTTGAGTCGCTTTTCCATTTGTGAGAAGAAAATTATTATTCGTATAAAAAATCAACTTTTTATTACAAATACTAATAGAAGTATATCATTGACTCACAGCTGAGGATATAACTCGCCTTTTGCTGCAGAGCTAAGGTTTGAACACTTTTTGTTATCTCTAATGAAACTGCTTTTTACAGCAGACAAGAGAAACACTTTGAGTGGAAAATACAATTCAATGAAGTGTAAACATTTTCACTTTCTTTTAAACTTTGAATTTAACTTTTCATTTTCCATTTGAGTCCACTTTTCTCTTTCCATCATATGATGAACACTTGGTTACCGATAAAACGCTAAATATTTTTATCGTATGAGTTGTATTTTATTCAAAATAATAGCTTCTGTTAATTGAGTTTTTGTTTTTAATAGATTAATTAGACTAATAATCAATAAAAGAGTATCGCATCGTAATTATTTAAATATATTTCACAATAACTACAATCATAATTCATTATTAACAAATATTAAATTTGTGAAGTTTGAGAAATTTTTGGGAATAATCAATCTTTTATTATAGAAATCAAGTATTGCTATAATAATAATACTTATTTGGAATATAATAATGAAATGCTATCCACTCAGGCATTAGAGATGTGCCAACAAATACTGATTCTATTGATTATATCCACTAAATATACTCTATTCTCTATGATTGCAATAAATTATTACTATTAACTCTCTCTCTCTCTCTCTCTCCCTCTCTCTCTCTCTCCATCCCTCACTAACTTCCCCTAATTCACACAACAGTATTGTACTTATATTTATGAGCATTGATTGCAAACCAGAAGCCTTTATAGATTTGGCACAGAATCGGAATTAATTTACGGAATAAAATTCATTTAATTTAATATGTTTTGGAAGTCTTTAAGATTGTCTTAAGGCTTGTTCAGTAAATAAACGGATGAAAACATTATAATATAGAACTTGTTATTTAAATTATTAATGAACTCAAAGAGTATATTTTATTTTATTTTTGTTAAATGGAGTTAATTTAGTTAAAGTATAATTTATTTACAATAATTAGTTTTTATTTATTCAATTTACAAAAGCATTTGAATGATTCAATTTATTAATATATGCTGTGATTAAGTTAGTTTACTGTATAAATCTATTAGTTTATTAGTTTATTATGATATAATAGATATATAAATAAAGTGTTAATTTTCACTAAGTTATTAATGAATTCTTAACTAAATTGTGTACTAAAAGTCAAATTCAATATTCAGTCAATAAGTTTGTTTCCAAAGCACTTAATACCTAATCTCAGATGAATTCTTATGTAATATGTATTAAACAAAGTAAAATTTACTAATTTTCTATTAATATAAAGAAATGAATTATACATTATGATAGAGAATACAAAACAGGGAAATAACTAAATAATGGAAAGACTTTTTTCAATGAAAAATAGATGAATAGAAGTATAGTATGTATAAGAGTCTATGCATAAATAAAGTGAAAATATTTGCTTAGATCTGATACGGATTTCATTTATCATAGCATAGGGTTAACAAACGATTCACTATTCACTGTATGCATACACTCCATACACTATATTCTATACATTATTCTGTACAATGTTGTTATGTTGAGTAGTGAGTGGTTTTGAATCTCAAGAATCATGAATTACAGTGGATTCCAGTGCCCTATGTATATGAATCAGAGTCAATACTGTATGTAGTGTATAGTATACAGTAAGTTACTATACTGTACACTACCGTATATACAGTGTATAACTGTATAGTAGTGGTTGAGCGAAGTAAATGGAAGTCTCAGGAAATGTCTTATTGCCCTCCGATCTGTCAAAATGATAAGACAAACGTGTGATGAATCAAGCAATAAAGCAATAAACCTATCAAATGCTGTCCTATTATTCTCAACGACAACTACTGACTAATGCAAAACGTGATAAGTATTGGGTATACCGTGTGTCATACCATGCCATCAAAACATTTCTAAATACTGAGAATTCTTCAATTAAATGTTAGGATTGTTATCAAACACTACTCCACTCTCCCCTACAAAATACTGGAGTCGGCAATAAACTAGAGTTCACTCTTGATTACAATCAATGGTATCTTATTCTTGAGATGGCACTCAAATGATCACTTCTAATCACATTACTTGACAACAAAATAAAAAATGTAATGTTTTTTCTTTCAATCAAAGGCTCGTTAAGTAAAACCAATTTATTTATATTAATTCATTCGCATTCGTCCGCACTTTCCGTACAATCCATTCATTTCTTATTATACTCTTTCGGATAACACTATTGATAGCAAAGGCAACAGTATTTTAGTATTTTAACTGCATTTTAGAAAATTTTAAATTAATTTCTTATTTAATTTTAAGAATTCGTTTGGGTTTTAAACTGATATAAAAGGATTACTTTGTTGACACAAAAGTGTTAAGACAATTATGCAAAATACTATGTCGTCTCTGGTCTGGTATTTCTCAATAACATGTTTTGAAGCCAAGTATTCATTGTAAACGAGTGTTGACTGTATGTTAAGAACTGATGTAAAGGCACTTGAAAACAGGTTTCCCATAGAGAGAGACGTAAAGTATTAGAGTTAAAGTCCTATTCTGTAGTTAATTCAAACCCACAGTTATATAAGTTATATAAAAGAAGTCTTATTTGTTGAATGCGAACACTTGGATAACAATCGATTGGTGTTTATCTCTCAGGTTTTTAGAGCACAGGAAAAATCGACAAAATTCTGGGACAGAAACAGAATCGTTGGCGTAATACCACTCGAAGGCCAATATATTTTTGATGATAATTCTTAAGACTAAATCATCACAAGAGAGGGAATAAGACGACCAAAAGAGACAAATAAGCAAATATTGGGATATATTATAAATATTATATATTTATAGAAAAATAATAGTAAAAAAGACTATTGTTAGCAGAAAAGAGCGCAGATTCTCACTTAACACACACACATACACCTGGGCTTAAGAATATTCCGCAAAAACTATTGATCAGACAGTCCTTTCGCTCAGACCTTCCTCTAGTTTATTATTGATCGGCTGACGAGAGTAAGTGTTTTATATCTAACAGTCGGTGCGCTTCTTATCATTCAAATTCTTCGCCAATTTTTTGCCACTCTTTTGATGCGTTTTTTGTCTGTAATTTACATAAAATGTATTTTTTTCGAGGGAATGGCTAATACTCACATTCGGTATAATTGCTTGAGATTAAAGTTTTTGAATATAAGAATTAGTAGTTTTTAAAAAGATATACATTTCTTGTGTTTCCCTTGATTTGCATTTAGTTTGCTATAAGAGTTCATTAGAATATCAAACGAGGCCTGAAATGGCATTCAAGAAAACGAGTAGTTTTTCTCTACTTTTTATGTGTTGTATGTATAGTAAACGCATAGCAGCTATAAGTCTGTCGGGATTTATGAGAGAAAAACCATATTCTATGACATAATGTATTCGCAATATTATAACACGTCTGAGCTCTGAGACCCGTAGCTTTGCTAACAATATATTTACAGACAGTCTTATACAGTATTAAAACATTGTCTAAACAGTAAATATTTAAATGTGATAATCGATCTTTTGATAAAAAGCCGGAATTCATTATATTGTTTATATGGATGACTATTATTCTGTAATAACTTGTATCTAAAAAACAAAATGTATTTATAAAAATGTTATCCAAGTCACATGAAAATAGCAAATTAATGGTTATTTTGGTTTGTATTAACTCTAACCGCAAATATTGCTAACTTGGCTTGAAATAAGATATTGAGTAATAATAAATAATAATTTATGTCTATCATAATAAGTAATATAAATTTGTTGCATATATTTATTTATTTATTTGTATAGCCAGACCTTGTTTGTAGCACTTTAGGGAATACATACTCTGTGTATTTGACCAAATTTAAAGAATAGCGTTATAACGTTATAATCCATAATTTTCAATGGCTCTACACAAATGCAAATGTTATTTTCAAAATGATCTTTTGGTGCATCAAATCATTGTTTATTCTACAGTACAGTACACTGCAGTATACACTGTAGTATGCGTTGACTTTTAAAATATCATATTTTAATGAATAATTTGGTGAATACGAGTCGTAAGAAGACTATAATCCTTTAAAACCTTTTATATATATTTGTTCGCTATATACTGTAAACAATACGTTGGTATTTGTCTAATACTAATGATAAATAATTTAAATCCGAGTATAATTCCGTAGAATTACTCCGAGTATTACAAAACAGACATATTTTACAATTTTAAATATAAATGCCTTATTTGTATCATAAATTCTCCGAATAGCGATTGCAGTCATTGTTTAAATACCAACCGTTTTATTATAAAATTTAATTTCCCTAAATATGTCTATCATAATAAGTAATATAAATTTGTTGCATATATTTATTTATTTATTTGTATAGCCAGACCTTGTTTGTAGCACTTTAGGGAATACATACTCTGTGTATTTGACCAAATTTAAAGAATAGGGTTATAACGTTATAATCCATAATTTTCAATGGCTCTACACAAATGCAAATGTTATTTTCAAAATGATCTTTTGGTGCATCAAATCATTGTTTATTCTAACGCTTCAAAAGAGCCTCTTTTCATATACAGTACACTGAAGTACACTGTAGTATGCGTTGACTTTTAAAATATCATATTTTAATGAATAATTTGGTGAATACGAGTCGTAAGAAGACTATAATCCTTTAAAACCTTTTATATATATTTGTTCGCTATATACGGTAAACAATACGTTGGTATTTGTCTAATACTAATGATAAATAATTTAAATCCGAGTATAATTCCGTAGAATTACTCCGAGAATTACAAAACAGACATATTTTACAATTTTAAATATAAATGCCTTATTTGTATCATAAATTCTCCGAATAGCGATTGCAGTCATTGTTTAAATACCAACCGTTTTATTATAAAATTTAATTTCCCTAAAATTACAAAACAGACATATTTTACAATTTTAAATATAAATGCCTTATTTGTATCATAAATTCTCCGAATAGCGATTGCAGTCATTGTTTTTTATGGTTGGCAAAATAATATTTTAAATTAAAGGGATTGGAAACTTGCGAACGGACGCTTTTTACGGTTGTAAATATGCAAACCATAAATTGTTACTAAAATGAATTTTTGAGGTGTTTTATAAATCTGTAAATAATTGACTAAAATTTCCGTATAAAAAGTAATTATTTATAGCATTAGGCAGAGAGAGAATATATCCTACGCTCACTATTTTCTATACGTTATAAAAGTATTGGATTCACCAAAAAAAAACTAATCTATTATTAAATTGTTTGCTTTTGCGAGCATTGTATGGAAACATTCACCGAAATTCTTCAATCGATTTCCCTTTACTATACACTCGTTATATCTGACACTTTCCGATGCCTCCAATGGCACTTACCTGCAATACATGGCCACTAGTTTCACTGTATTTCTGATTACATATTAATGTGGAGTATGAGTGATATGTTTGTGAGATATAATCGTCAAAATTTAATTTGAAATGATTATCATCTGCGAGCAGAAAAAATAAGTATTATAGTGCTGTAAATAAATGGGTGCTTCAATTATTTAAACAGTTTTTGTGACTACTCTCGAAAACAGACATTTAATTAGTATAGTTTAACATAACACACAATCCAAATCCTGATTACATGAAAAGTCAATATAAATTAATATTATTCTTCACTAAATATCACAACAGTTTGGAGAGAGAGAGAGAGAGAGAGAGAGAGAGAGAATCAATAAATTGATTTTATACTCAATTCATGAATAGAAGGAAAATATTGCTAAACATTAAAAATATTTTTTTGAGTAATGTTTCATTAAATTCTATTGTATTTGAGTACATAAGTAAAAAATTCTCAAATTTTTAGAATAACTATTATATATATATTTCTTTTTAATAAAAATGATAATTTTTGTTTTAAAAGTACTTTTATTGTTACATAATTTCAGTTCTCTTTCTCTAATATCTATTCTTAGAGAATGAAAACAAATGTAACATAAAGTATTAAGAGTCTCTCTCTCTCTCTCTCACCAAATAGTGAAAGTTTTTTGTATTCACTTTATCGGGGATGACACCCATATTATGATTGCATTTAAGAATATAAATTATGCACTATTTTTAAGGGACGAAAGAGAAAAATGAGTGAATTTTCAATTTTTTAAACATATTATTTTTGGAAAAATACACATAAAAAATATATATATGTTTTCCTTAGGGATTGTGTGGAAGAAATATTAGCGATTTGTTTGATTATGGGATAAAAACTCCTCCCGTTATACAAGTGACGCACCCTTTTAGTCAATTTGCACTCAAAACAGTTGACTGTCATATGTTTTGTTCACTATCTCTATAAATAATTATCTCTCTATAGTGTAAACCAATTGTGTACTGCTCTGTAATTTAAACACCGCTCGTATTATAGCCGAGACAGTCATTTCGTTTTACAGAAATACAAATACAGTTCATGTCATAAAATATTGGATCTTTGGATTAGAAAACCTTTTTGTCTATTCTGGTAATCCTATGATTTGTATTCACTATAACGAGTGTATAGTGTATTTAATTCTGATTACGTGGATATGGATTCCTGGCGTATAATTCCTGTGTGTTTTATTATAACTTATTATTTTTTATGTTTGTTCACTCTTTCTATATATTATTATTATGATTACATCAATAAATTCATTCATTTCTATTATCATTATTTTGGAAATATTTTTATTGTTGCACTAAAGCTATAATGAATTTCTTGGGATAATTATTATTGTTATATAAGTGTTGACAGAAAATAAAATTATGGAAAACAAGAATACACATATTTTAATTAATTGCAAATTGCAATCAATAATTAATATAACAAATCCTTGTCGTCAAGAGTCTATGAGTGGGAATAGAGAGACAACAAAAACATTATTCATATGATTATTACAAGCGATTGTATATAATATTGAAAACTATAATCGATGTGATGACCAAAGAGGCACTTCGGGGGCCTATCATCTGCTAACCATACAAACTGATGATCACTTTAGCGATTGTGTGATCACTATATGCCATTAGAGAAGTGATTGCAGTCAATAGCCATTACATATCAATTCATGAATCGTATATGTAATCAATGTTTTTCACTTGTTATCTGTTATTCACTGAATTCATATTCAATTCCAATAAAACACATTATAGTTTCAATTATAGCATAGGATTTAATTTCCATTAATTGACACAATTCTAGGCATAAGTTTTGCATCATTTGTGAGTTTATATGATTTGAATTCTAATTATTGTAATTATCGGAAGCAATCAAATGGAGTATACATAACATTAAACTTTTATGTGTTTAAGCGACAGACAGTTAGCAGTATATATCTCTAGTCCTTAATTTTTTTCGCTGAACTCATTATGTCTATTATTATATTGATTTATATATACCGTATACCATTTGGCTTGAGTTTTAATTATTTGAAAATTAAATCCAATTTGTAATCCAATGAGAAATTTGCTAATTAATTAGAGGATTTGCCACATAAAACATATAAATTTGAATGTAAGCTATAATTAATCGCCAAATGCATTAAAAAAGAGCTAAACTTTTGTTTGAATATTGCGTTAATAGTCAGTGATGTATGAATGAAACGGGATATACTGTACTGTATATAAGGCATATAAGGCTAACATTGCGTGTATGTATAGCATATATATCGGGCACAGGAATCATATTATTTTGTTTTAATTAGACCTGAGGTTATTGTTTAATTGACAGATTTGTAATTAACTATAAGGCATGAGACAATCAGCTAATTGTTTGTGTATTAAACTAAATATAAGCTACGAATCACTGCATGAAATGTTATAATTTTGTCGGTAATATCGACATAAAATTTGTCACATAAAGATTAATACATTCATTGATTTCTGTGAACAATAATACTACGAAATGTTTTCAGTTTTTATATCTATTATATCAATATAAATACTGTATATATAATCTCTTCACGAACTGAAAAAACTTTTTATTTTAATTATATCCTGAAGTAAAACATGTGCTGTATTTGACATAAGAATCAAAAATCTCAAACGAAAAATAAAAAACATAAAAAATAGTTTTCAATGAACATAAAAAAATATTTCTCAACTCTAACTTTGGAGACCTATTTATAACGACTTTTATTGCATTTCTTATCTAATAATTAGCAGATATTACACCCAAACGGGTATTCATAGAAAAATATGAACTAATCTTTGCTCTCCTCTTCCCTTCTCTTCTATGTTTGTGTCAATCGATTGGTGCTATAGTTTCTGAGAAGGAGATCCGGCAATGGTATGTAAAACGTATTCATATTCATGACATATTGGCTTATTATCACATGTATTACAAACACTCATCCTTTCCTTCACTGCCATATGATATAACAAATACATTCATTGCATTCATACTGTATTCGTAGAGAGTATTATGTTTTTTGTCACTATTGATAACTTTATACAACCATACAATTGAATAGCATTGAGATATACAGAAGGAATACATTAGAGAATATTAAAACACTGGATATTCTGCTCATGAATTCAAGACTAGTATTCATTTGTGAAATACTTTTCTTTTTAAATATATATTTATATTTTCTTTTCAAATCGTAATAATTCTTAAAATCTATATATTTTTATATTATAATAGGTATAAAGGCTTCAAAAAGGATTGCCCTATACCTGTCGAGTGTCTTGTCCATACGTAATATAAGTTGTTGTCTTATCTGTCCTTTCCGGATATCTTAGCTACAAATCTACTAAATAACCCTGAAGGAAAACTTGAAATGAAATGACACATATAACTGTACAACACATCCATGTTAAGATGATTTTAGTTTGTGTTTATACTGTATAAAGAAAAATATTTATATATTGCTTATAATAATATTTTATGTAAACTAAACATTAAAAACTATGCTTTTGATTTTTCATGTCTTTTACATTACATATTACAGGGATTTTTGCGAATATATAAGCAATTCTTTCCACACGGAGATCCATCCAAATTTGCATCACTTGTCTTCAGGGTTTTCGATGAAAATAAAGTAAAAAACAAATTAAATTCTATATATATTACACTAATTCTTGCTCTCACTCATCAATACATACTGTATATTCTGAATGTAAATATAAATTACTTTTGAACAACAAAACCGATTAATATAATTGTATTTTTACACTTTTTATTACGTTATTCTTTCTTACACTAACTTTCTCTCTCTCTCTCTCCCTCTCCCTCTCTCTCTCCCTCTCCGAGAGGGAGAGAGAGGGTGGCCTAAAAAGTTACAAAAATACCAAAACTGTGATTTAAATATGTTACTTAACTTAAAAGTATAAACTTTTAGTTTAAAAATATTGTTTTAACTGTTTTTGACAAAAGAAAATGAGAAATATTTTATTTTTATGTAATTTCCTGTGAAAATATAAAAGGAATAGTATTTGTATAGAATTTAATTATTCTTTCCAGTCATTAATACTAATTTAAATGAAAACATAATCTACTGCACACACACACTATACAGTACACTGAGTATACAGTATGATGTTTAGTCTCTTGTATTTAGTTTGTAATGAATTTTGTCTCCTCTTTTTCATGAAAAGGACGGCTCAATAGAATTTGAAGAGTTTATAAAAGCCCTGTCCGTCACTTCCAGAGGAAACTTAGAAGAAAAGCTCGTTTGTATGCATTCGCTCTGTATTTCATTCAAATAACAAACATTTACTGTAATTAATTACATTGACTTTAGATCCCATTCTAATTAATTCTGCCATTGTTTGCCATATTCAAATGCCCTTTTATTACCCTTTATAGGCACCCATAACTTTACATATTTTTTGCTTATTATTTTTATCTAAATAATAAATTTCCCAGTAATTTATATCCCAAACATCAACCCATACTTTATTTTGAGTGATTCTTTAACTCACAAAACGATGCGATTCTTTGGTTACATATTTTTGTCGCATGAATTGAATTAATAAATCACATGTGAAATGATTTTGCAATAAAGAAAATGTTTTCCAAATATATGTTATATGCAATGATTGCAGAATAATGAGCGGTTCGACTAAATTGTTTCAAAATTTATTTCTTTTGAAAAAACAAACCAAAACACTATTTGATACCATATATAGTATAATATATAGATATATAAGTTGTATATAATATTCTGTATTCTTAATGGACTTCTTAGGGGCGTTCAAGTTATACGACGTGGACAATGACGGGTATAAATAGCATAGCATTACTAAAAATAGAGATTTGTTTTTGGGATTTAATGATTAACTCCTGTCGTACTCCTCGAACCCATACAGATATATAACGAGGGAAGAGATGTATAATATAGTGGACGCTATCTATCAAATGCTGGGAAACCAGGCGAAGATCGCTGAGGACGACGAGGAGAACCCGAAGGAGAGAGTCGACAGAATATTTGAACAGTTGGATAAAGTGAGTGCTTTTTTTCAGTTAATTAAATTCTTTGTGTCATTTACTCGCACTTCATATATTTGTAAACCATTTATACATTGTCTGTGTGTTCGGTGTGGTGTCATCATATGACAGCTCCCTTTCCCTTTCCATTCCGTATTATGAGTTCCAACCCAACGCTGCACTCCTTATGATGTTATGAAAACACAACATGAATTCCAGTGAATACATATCACTAGCGATAGGAAGGGTATTGAAATAAATTCTATTAAAATATGAGTTTTACTGATCAAAACAGTGGAGAGACGTCAATAAAAGCATATTATTGTCGAAAAAATAAATGCTAAGAATGAGATGAATGTCTTAGAAATACGGATGAGTTCTGAAGAATTCAATATTTATTCAATTGACCGATACTTGACTTTAAACACAATATTAAGTTCAAAGAAATGTTAAAATCAAATAAGGAAAAGAATTTTGCATTCGATAAGAGGTTTTCCATATTATATTAAAGTCGATAGAGGCCCGAGTCAGGACTTTGCCTGCAATTTAAGGTTAATTTCATTTGACTCTACATTGTATTCAAGTGATCGATGCGTGGATAGGAGAGAGAGAGAGAGGGAGGGGAGAGAGAGAGAGAATCAAACCTCTGATAACCTAAGCAATTGATAAATGGCTGGTGCGGTCAAACCGTTACTTTTTTAAACATTAATCATCTTTTATATTGTGTTCAATAAATAGTTGAGTAAAAAAGTAAAGAATTTTTAAATTTCTAAGTGAAGAAAAACTGAGAAAATTATTTATGTTTTAAATTACTTTCTATGAAAAGAAAGGCAATTTTTATTGATTTATCATTCATTCACTTTCACTTAATTTTTACTCTAACTTTCTCTACATTTTATGTAAAATATTTATTTAAACAAAAATTATCTATTAATTCTACTGATGAGAAGTTTATGGATAAAATTTTCTCATTATAAACTCACATTTTCTAATGAATTCTTTATTCATAATTGATTTTCATATTATTATTTTTAATACTTTTCTCTATTTATTACACGTTTTTCTGTTAGTTTTTGTAATAAATGAAAAGAAAAATGAGTTTTTGTTTACTTTGACTTGACTTTTCAGTTTTAATGATAGAAACATTATTGATCTCAATATAGTTGTCACACATTTATATCAAAACTATAAAATAGAGTATTATTTGTGTCAAAAATTTTTAAAAACAAAAATTCTAAGAGACTGCACTTTCTTGACTATACTTTAAAGTAGAGATTTTGTGTTAAATAGGATTTGAAAGTAGTTTTTGGACCAAAAAATAGTGTAACAATTCATTGAACACAGGGTTCGGTCCACTTTGAGAAGCACTTGTGTTGTGCTTATAATAGAATATCGCAACCATTATGGAGACAATTCTTGTGGCCATTATAGCTCATTGACATAAATTGATGTCATATATCAGACCGAGAGAGAGCTAACTGTGCCTTTGCGTGAGAATTGCATATTTAATAGATAATCATAACCGATCGTTCAATTTGATGAGTATTTTCTCTCCACTTAAGTCTATTTTAGTACGAGAGAGAGAGAGAGAGAGAGAGAGAGAGAGAGAGAGAGAAAGTACTAAATATTAAATTCTATATTCTATGCACAACTCTGCTAACTGCCCCCTTCTACAAAAACAATATAGAGAGTGTATACAGAGTAGAGTAAAAACAAAAATATAAAAACTAATGAAAAAATTTTATTTCTCCAAAATTATTTGTAAATCATTTTCCAGAAAATTTTCTATAATATATATATTTTTCAATAAGATATTCCACATATCAATCTTAATATTGTTTTTAAAAAATTTTCGTTTTCATCAAAATAATATTTGATTTTTTGAATTTTGAATTTAAAATTTATATTTTAAAGTTATATATCTTCCTTTTGAAAAGTTTTGATTTAATGAAAATATAGATTTGAAATGGTATGCACAATGTGTTGACTCTGTTTGCATTAATCTGTGTCTAGAATCAGGACAACAAACTAACTCTGGAGGAGTTCAAAGAGGGCTCCAAACAGGACCCGAAGATAGTGCAGGCATTGTCTCTCTACGCGCCGTAGAGTTGTTGTTGTTATGGACGCACGGAATCAACACATGTATTGCCATCGAAAGGGAACTATAGATCAATAAATATATCCAACGCTTTACTACTATATCATCAGAGAAGACAAACTTATATATTATATATTTTTTGCTTATTCAGTAAATTATGATTTATTTGTTTAACAAACAAATTCGTATTAATATATACTATCATATTTTGTAATTATTTTCTTATTTCATAAACTCTTGTTTTCGTTGTTATTGTTGTTACTATTTAATTACATTTATCTTATCGTTTTAACAATTTATACTATTTATTAATATTTAAACTTATTTTTTGAATTTAGTATTTATTAAGAATTATTTATAAGTGAAACATAAATTGAAATTCATGTAGAATTCTGTGACATACGGTTGACTATCGGTGCTGTGAATTCAGTAAATATGATACTCTTATATAAGATTCATTCCAAAAGCAAAGTTAGTCTCTCTATATATAATCAATAATCATATAATGCACTGATTTTCATAATATATAATTCGCTTGCATGAAGCTTTTATGAATACAATTTTCAGAGTCGACTGTATTTACTATATATCTAACTGCAACTCTCTGTAAATATTACATAAATAAAGCAAAACAATTTCAATCAATAGCATAATATTCATGTTATCAAAAAATTCTGTAATTTTACACTATCTGTCCCTAACATGCATTGCATTATGCCATAGACGTACAGAATAAATAAATTATAAATAGTTTTCACTCATATTATATGCAGAATCAATGATAAGGAATAATAGTCGACAAGAATTGTGTGCAATATTTTAGACGATATGGAAATGAATTGATTCTGAATTTAAATTCAGTATTATTTTCATAAATAATATTATTTGCTGATTGTCTTGAAAAGCATATTTTACTTCATAACAAAAGTGGACTCTATTTATAGAAATTGTTGAGAAAATTATAAATCGTTTGACTCGCAAATGTTATCATACATTACAATGTCGGGACTGATAGTGAGAAATTACAACATTTTCACTAGAATATTCATTAAATATTAAAATTAAAACATTTTTAGACATACTAGTTAATAATTTAAATAAAACATACAATTAATCATAATTTAAAACAAAATTAAAAGTTTGTACTCAAATCATGTATACATTAAAAGCAGGTATTTTAGTATAAAAAGTCATTTAAGAGAATATTTATTACACCATTGTTTGAGGTCTCAAAAGTGAAACTCATTTTTTCTAATTTTTTAATTATTCATTCCATTGATTAAAAATAGCTAAAAGCCCTCCCCATCAACACAATAATGGTTTCAATAATAAATGAATTCTTACATTTGAAAGCATTTATTTTTAGGCAAATAGTCTGTTAATAGTCAAACAGTGAAAGCTAGTCTCAAAATAGAGATACTATTCTTCATTGCAATGATTTCTCATATAATTTATTTTGGAAAACACTTTACTTACACTGATGTGTCAAATAGGCATTCTTGAGATAACATCACTCCATATAAACCATTCATTCATTCACATCATATATCGTGAGCTTTGTCCCCACAATCGACTACATTCTCAAATACATACAAATCAATTGCTAAAACAAACTCTGATATACATGATTTGTGGACAAATTTTTCTCATACATTTGTTACTATAATATCATAACTCAGACTCTTAATACGAGCTTTGGTTACAATTAATACTTTCAATATATTGACATCTACTAAACCAAACAACTCTTTTCATATAACATTGTGATACCTGCCTTACAGTACCTCTCTCTCTCCCTCCCTCTCTCTCTCTCTCTCTCTCCCATTCCTCCTCTATATCTATCTGTTTTCTCCCTTTCTTTCACTTTACTGTATATATACTGTATGTGACATTTAGTTCATTAAATTGACATTTTGTTACATATATAATAACTACAGTACAGACTTGCACCCACCCAACAGACATGTCTCTTATGGACCTCTTATATGCCTCTCATCTCAAGAACTTTATGTAATCTAATGTATATTAACTTAAATGATAGTACTTTTCGAGTGTTAAACAGTTAAACACAATAAATTTAATTAAGTTTTACGTTTAATGCACTGAAAACCAAAGTAATAACAGATAATAAAAAAGAAAATAATCTAAACAATCAAATTTTTCAATACATTTATCGCATTTTCATTTCCTTTTCTCAATTGATTCTAATCTAAATGTGAAATAATAATGATTATAATATACAGTATATATAACATGACTTATATATTGATAAATTGTTAACAATAATAAATTGATAGATATAATAGACGAGAAAAACTCGACAATACTGTATAAAAAGCACAAAAAAAGAAAGTCAAATAAAAACTACTTTCAAAATGCTATTAATTTTATTAATTCTTGTTATACATTTGGGTTAAGATTGTATTTATAAGTTGAGATAGTTTTATAAATCTTATTGTTGAGTAGTGGGATATAAATGGATTCACACCATCTCTAAGACATTTTAAATTCTCTTATGACAACTGGGGATCTGATGTATTTGTGAAGGAAGTCAGTAAGAGTTGAGGTAAAAGTGGCAAAGGATTTGATACATTTTGGGATATTGAGGACAAATAAGATAGAATGGGCGAGGGCAGTTTTATATACAGTAAAGGATAGTATTGTAAAGTGGGAGAACTTGTAGGGCTTGTCTTTGACCGTAAAGTGGTGACCGTCAAAGTGGTCGGAGTTGGAGAAGTTGGCGGTTCCGTGATTGGGGTTTCGGTTGAAAAGGTATTTATTTGTTTACAATTTAACTCATCAGATCTGTCGCCGCAATCAGGAATGCCATTGCATCTCATTTTTAAAGATATACATTCATTATTTTGACACAAAAAGTCCAAACAAGTAGTGGTAGTGTTGGTCTGTTTGGTGGTACAGTTCATCTCATCCGCACCATTAGAGCAGTCATTGATTCCATCGCAAAGCAATTTGTTGGGAATACACGTGTCGTGAGTATCGCCACAACGGGTGTGGTTTACGGCACAGTCTTTGACGACTATTTTCTTTGACTCCTTGTTATGACACGACTGTTCATCGGCCCAATTGCCACAATCGTCTTCGCCATCACACCTCCAGAACTGAGGGATACATCGGTCGCTCCCGCAGTCAAACAACTTCGAGGGACATATGCTGAGCACTGAATGCATGATAACTAGAATTAAAAATCATTATAACTTTAAAAATATTTACTTTCAGTTACCTAAATTAAAATTGATTATAATTGCTAAACATAATAAATTTAAATTCATAATGATTTAAAAGTTTAATTTTTAATATAAAACAAACTAATCCTAATATACAGTATTAACTAGTAAGTTATAAAGTAAATGTTATATATTGTTCTTAAAATGAAGTTAATATTCAAATTAAGAATTTCCAATATTTTCCCATTAGTTTTATTGGAAATATTCATAGGATGTTATTATAATATTAAACTTAAACATTGATACAGTAGCAATTATCTTAATATGAGAATTCTGCTTTTGTATTACGGTATTTTTCATTTTGACGGTTTATATTTAAAATAAATCTAGAATTTTAAGAATTACTGTTATATTTATACACAATCTCTGAATCATTGTTTAAACAAGCCCAATTGTCAAACACAAATGTATTATTTTGCTTGCATTTCCAGAAATATTTTCACATTCAAAAGTCAAAACAATTTAAGATACAGAAACAGATTTTAAAATGTTTATATTGGTTAATACTAAACAAATTGATAATAAGTATAAATATAATCATAAATATAATTTTAAATTTTAAATATAATTTAAATAAAATATAATTTTTATTGATATTAATATAAATATAAAGCTAGTGTTAACAAAAAATAAATTGAAAGTCTTATAAACGATAAATCTTAAAAATACTGAATAATAATAATACATTATTAAATAAAATATATATAATATATTATATAAACTTTAAAATATGTTCCAATTTATAAGTAAGTTTAGATACTTTTCTATCATTTATTGTTGAGTCCAGGAGCTGATTAGGAATTTATACCAGTCTTAAAACATCGAAATTCTCTTAAGACGGCTCCGAGTATGACGTGTATGAGAAGGATGTGAATGAGAGTGTGGGTAATAGTGGGAGCGGAGTGGAAGTACATGTCGGCAAATTGTAGACAAATATGATAGAATGGGCGAGGGTAGTTTGATATACATTATAGGGTAGTATTGAGGTGATGGAGCAATTGTTGGGCTGGTAGTTGACTGAGTGGTGGTCGTTGGAGTGCCCGGATTTGGAGTAATGAAGGGTTCGTTTTGGTCAATACATGTCTTCTCGTCTTTCCCCAACTCATAGCCTTCACGACAATAGCATTGCGGGCCTTCCAGAGCCACAAAACATAATTGCGAGCAATTCTTGGTATGACATCCCTGTGGCTTGCATTCAGTGCCCTCGTCGTCGCCCTGCGGACAGTCCTTATGATTATCACATACCCTGTAGTGTGAAATGCATTTCCCGGTCAGGCATTGATAAAATCCGTGCTCTTTATCGCAGATTTGTTTTTTTGTTTCCTTTGGACAGTTGTGTTCATCAGACATGTCATCGCAATCAGAGATACCGTCACATCTCCAGCGCGAAGGAATGCATTCATTGGTTTGACACAAAAAGCCGGGACATTGGATGTGTTCGGCCGTACAGTTCTTCTCATCGGCACCGTTAGCGCAGTCCTCGATTCCATCGCAAAGCCATTTGTTGGGAACACATGTGTCGTGAGTATCGTTACAACGGGTGTGGTTTACGGCACACTCTTTGACTGCCAATGAATTAGTCTCTAAGTTATGACACGACTGTTCATCGGCCCAATTGCCACAATCGTTTTTACCATTACATCTCCACACCTGAGCGATACATCTGGTGTTTCCGCAGTCAAAGAACTTCGGGGGACAGACACTGAGGACTGGATGCGAAAATTCATAATTAAACTTTAAAATAATTTTATCAAAGTTAATATTAATTACTTAAATTTGACTTGAATATAACTATTAAATATATAATAACGAGATTCATTCTAGTTTAAGATCTTAATAAACTTTAAAATTAAAACTAATAAATTTTATTTAAATATTTAACTGATGAGTTATAAAAGCTCTAATATAGTATATGAAGTTATAATTAAAATCATTTTCAATCAGCTTTTATAAGAAAGTTTCATAGGATGTTATTATAATTTTAAACTCAAATATTGAATACATTAATGAAATTTGAATATTACTTATTCATTTTCATTTTGCCTGTTTATATTTATAATTAAATTTTAAGAATTACATTCAATTCCTGTGAGATCCTTTTAACAAGCTCAATTGTCAAACAAGAATGTATTACAAACATTTTATGTGAATACATTTCTTAGAAATATTTTCACATCTAAATGTCAAAACAGTTTTAGTTACAGAATTAAGAAATGTTTATGCTGGTTAATACTAAATAAACGGATAATAAAGGAAAATATAAGTCATATATTGGTATTAATATCAATATTCTGTTAAAAAAATAAATTGAAAAACCTTGTATAGATGAGAAAACTCAACAATACGGTATAAAAAAGCATAAAATACTCAATAAAAACTACTTTCAAAAATGCTATCAATTTTATTCATTTTTGTTACTCATTCCGTTTGATTGAAAATATTGTGAACTGAATTTCTCTGATATTTCTAGAAACCAATAAAAAACATTTGAAAACTCTTTATATTACTCGCGAAAAATATTGATTCAAATTCATTGCATTCAAGTTAAACTCATTTCAATAGAAATAATTTGTATGCTGACAAACACCATTTATATAAAAATATTTTTATTAATAAATTAAATATTTGTTATGATTTGTAATTTGTAAAATATATAAAAATATAAAAACAGTATAAATCAGTAAATATGTACAGGGTCAGGTCTAATATTTGGCTCCATCCAGACTCCTGGTGTCATCGGTTAACGGCTCTTCTTCGTCGGTCTCTCGACGGAAGGCTTTCTTAAACATCGGGTTTTGGAAACTGATAGCACTTTTCCATTGATCGCCGCGACTGAACAATACATTTCGTACTTCTCTGTAAAGAATTAAATATTTTTAAGTAAGAGTTTAAAGGGAAGAAAGTATTCACGCAATCATTACCTGTAATCGTCTCTTTTGATAATAATAGTAATCAAGAGTACAATTATAGCGACAATCAAAACGGCAACAAATAATGTGATCCAACCCTTCTGGCTATTAGTGTCAGTCTCGGCCTCACTGTTAAACGTTTGGATCAGCGGACGTCTTGTGACTTCTGAAGTGACATCTCTTGCGGTAGAATTCGATGAAATACTTTCAGTAGTCGTCATATTCTCCAGTTCTATGTATTCATGTGTCGGCTCTTCGCAGTTCTTATGGTCTTTGCTGAGCACCAGATGGTCGGGACAGACACATGAATACTGATGGTTGGGGGCCAACAGACACATATGGGAACACTTGGAACAGCAGGGGTTGTGCGCTAGAGGTTGGGTCAGAGGATGGTACACATGAACACCCATTATATGTTCGTTCATTTCTCGGATAAGAGTCGTCTGGTTATGTCCCGTGAATTTGTTGCTCATATCCAACGAATAGGTGATCCAATCGCTCCAATAGAGAGTGTCCTCGAAGATAGACAATGAAAACGGATGAAAAACTTTGTCTTGAAGTACAATCTTTCGCTGATTGGTCTCTAAATCTAAAAATTCTATTCTTCCGTATTTGGCTTCAGACCAATAAAGTCTGTCCGACACTGAATCCAATGCCAAACCGTTGGGCCACACGATTTGGTCGGCAATTAAATGCTTTTTATTCGATCCATCCATTCCTGCCGAGAAGAGTCCCGGAGTTCGGCCCCATTCCGTCCAAAACAGGCGTCCCTTCAACGGGTCGACGACAATACCTCGCGGAAGGTCTAACTGTCCGAACAGATCCGATGCACACAATTCTTTGTCGGCATTCAGATCGCAAACAACTATTTTATTAAGCTCTGCGTCTGTGATGTAAATATTTTCGGCGACCCAATCAATGGCTAAATCTTCAGGACTTATGAGACCCTTAGTCAACACGGGTTTGAATTCATCACCGAACAGACCGACTGAATAGACACCGGAATGTGTTTTATCCAGATCAACCCAATAGACACGGTTTTGGGCCCCAAAGAAGTCGATTCCTACAGTTTGGGTCAACGAGTGATAGACCGGGAAATACCTATTGGTGTGAAGCCATAGCCCACGAATGCCGTCACTGTTGGAGAACATGAGAAGTGGTTCGCCCTCTTCGGCAACACAACTCCTGTTGTTCACCAGAATATAATTGTTAAGACAACTGCATTTGTAGCCGCCGTCCAGATTAATACAGGTTTGACTGCAGAGACCCTTCTCTTTGTTTAATTCGCATTCATTTTGGTCAATACATGTCTTCTCGTCTTTCCCCAACTCATACCCTGAACGACAATAGCATTGCGCGCCTTCCGGAGCCACAAAACATAATTGCGAGCAATTCTTCGTATGACAGCCCTGTGGCTTGCATTCAGTGCCCTCGTCATCGCCCTGCGGACAGTCCTTATGATTATCACATACCCTGTAGTGTGAAATGCATTCCCCGGTCAGGCATTGATAAAATCCGTGCTCTTTATCGCAGATTTCGTTCTTTGTTTCCTTCGGACACTTGTGCTCATCAGACATGTCATCGCAATCAGGGATACCGTCACATCTCCAGCGCGAAGGAATGCATTCGTAGTTCTGACACAAAAAGCCGGAACAGTCCACCTGTTCGGCCGTACAGTTCTTCTCATCGGCACCGTTAGCGCAGTCCTCGATTCCATCGCAAAGCCATTTGTTGGGAACACACGTGTCGTGAGTATCGTTACAACGGGTGTGGTTTACGGCACACTCTTTGACCGGCAATGACTTCAACTCTAAGTTATGACACGACTGTTCATCGGCCCAATTGCCACAATCGTCTTCGCCATCACACCTCCAGAACTGAGCGATGCATCGGTCGTTCCCGCAGTCAAAGAACTTCGAGGGACAGGTGCTAAGGGCTGAATGCAAAGTATATTTTAACTAAAAAGTCATTACAATCCCAATTGCATTTAAGCACATTACCTAAATTGAAATTAATTATAACTACAAAAACCAGTAGCTTTCGACTTATCATTATTTTAAAATATATATTAATTAAATTAGAATAAAACTAATTTTTATAGTCTTTACAACATATAAATAATTACAGAAATAATGAATAAATCTTGAGCTCTGCTCTGGATTGATGTTATAATTAAAATGAAAGTCAGAAAAGGTCTACACTAATTATTTATAAAAGACTGGTCCTAATAAAAGTGAAATTTTTGTTACTTTAACCTTAACTTTTAATTTGTAAAATTGAATATTTTGTGAAAAATTCCGCATATTATGACAATTGTATACCGTATTACTGTACCACAAAATAGTCACAGTGCTAATTGTATTCATTATCATATTAGCTGTAATTCTATCGGACTATTAAGTTTGGATACTTATCAAATAAATATAAGCCTCCAATGTCTTTCTAATCATTGAGTAAAATTTCATTGTGAACTTAACAGTGAGAATTTGTTTTCAAACACAACTACAATTCTCGCATATTGTATGTCACATAACTTTGAAGTTTATGCCGTTGAGTACGGAATTGGAAAAAGTTTATTATTATTAAATAAATAAATCAAACGCTAATAAATGTTAAAAATCTATTTCTAGAAGCACCTAAAATGCATGGTTGAAACCATTTAAACCTTAAAACCTAAACCAATAAATATATGCAACAAAAATGATTAACATAAAGATCTCTTGTTTAGAAACTAAGAATGAATCTTATTTTCCACAATTAATTTAATTCCCTTAATATTTCTATTTTAAAATCCCATGAATCGTAGTCTTTGTTAAGTCTAAATAAGTTTTTGTTGTATTTATAATTGCACTCTATTTTTATGTGCATTTTTTCAAAACTAAAAGTTTATTTTTATAAAGTTAGTAAACATTCTCTCGAGTTTGAAATAACTTTTTTGTAGTAAATTCCTTAAACGCTGTATAATATAGCAATAATAATAATTAGGAAAAAAGTTTTGCACACAAAAAATTAGCTTTAATTTTGATAAAAGTAGAATCATTTCGAAGAATTCTTATTTTTTATAAAGAAAAGGTCATAAATTTTAAAAAACTTATTTCAATTTATCGATAAAACGAGTAATGAAAAAGAGTATTATATAATAAATAATGTTAGGTTTATTGCATGAAAAGTGGCGTATCTTAACTGTGGAGGCATACGTGTGTCTCCAGGAGTATCACAATCTAAACCATTAAATGATTTGTTTTGCAATTATATGATAAATTAATTTTTCGGCAATAAATATCATTTTATTCATATAATTATGAATTTCATTTAAAGATGCATAAATTGAAATAAAATGATTAAATGCAAGAATTTTAAAGTTTGTTTATGTAATAAATCAAGAGATGATTTGTTTCTGTAAAATCGTATGCAATTTCTAGTCACAAAGTGTGATAAAAATATATACGGGTATTATATATATAAAATATATATATATTCGCTAATCAAATATTATTTTAAACGAATAAATTTTTGATATAAAAATTTTTGGGTCACATTTAGTGGTGTGTTTAATATCGGTATGTAAATACATGCATAGATCACAGGATTTGTAATTTGCAATACATTTTCTAGTGGTGTAGTTATTGTCTAAACAAAATGCCAATCGTTAGCAGCGAAGATAATACATGGTATGTGAAGGGAAACAAAGTCGAGTAGTGTTTCCGTCAATGATTCAGACGATATTTCCACTGAATCCGGTCTTTCATAACTGATATCCACATCATATTTGCATAGTTTTGCGATAATTAAATGCAATTTTTAAATAATTGAAATGATATAATGCCCGGAGAATGACTACTCAATTAAAATGCAATTAATTATCTCATAGATGGATATAATCTCCTAGCATTGAAAAATCTGTTTTACAAATTTGTTAATCTTTTTTATTCTGAGTTCATCAGCATTCATATTCAGTACAAACATATAATAGCTTTTGAGAAAATTGTTTTATTAATTTTTCAAACACTTATATAATGTGTTTATGTAAAACTTATTATCAAAATATCTGATTTAAATAATATAATTAGTTTAAAGGCGAAGCCGAAATGTACGCAAATTATCAGCAAATTTAAAGACAATTATAGCTTAAAAGCGTAAATAATTAAAGAGTTATGAAAAATTTATTTTTGTACTAATCTATTAAAACTTTGAAATCACGCGTTAATGTATATCTCTGTATTGATAACAGCCTTTCCACTCAATTCTTATCACAAAACATGAAATTCCGATCGATTGGTATTTTGTTGTGTTAACCACCAAACTATTTAGGAAAAAGTTATTGACAAAAACTGTTTAACATATGAAAATCCGATAATTATTTTTTAATTGACAGCCAATTGATAAGTCATTGAAATTGGCTGATTGGTAGCGAAGGCGAAACAAAACGCTATATTATGTCTATATTATTATTAAATTGGTTATCAGTGTAAACAATATTCCCGAAGTTATTAGCCTTTGATTTATTTATAACATTATTCAGAATTTCTCGCCAAAAGCAGTTCACTTGTAATCTCTCTATCATATCAAATACATGTCGAAAGTAAATGTTCAAATTGAATGTTTAGCTTCAATATTATTCTAACGTCTGATAAATATTATCTGTTTTTATTGCAAAAAACAAATGATCTCATGTTTTTGGATGGCATTCATTGTCGAAACGAGTGAATCATTAATTAGTTGTTCATACAAACACAGAATCAAATAGTTGTCTACCTATACAATGAATCATTTTATTTGAAAACAACTTTTTTACGATTTTTACATATATTTATTTTTATTTAAATTATAATATGTCTGAGAGAAATAAAACTAAAAATTTCTTTTGAAACAAATACGAAATCAATTATGAATTTTATTATTAAATGAATTATTTATTTATATTTATAAATAGACTAAAAGGCATTACTGTTATAGCCATTGAAATACATATAATTCAAATACAGTATTAACTTTTTTTTTTCTCTTAATACTATTTGGTTGCTAAGCATTCGTACAAAAAAGCAAAATTCATCCTAAATTAGGACAAAAAGAATATAAAAGTTTTTAAAACTTCTTTTTTGAAACAAAAAAATTCAATTAAAATGATTTTTTAGAATCATTGTTTAAACAAGCCCAATTGTCAAACACAAATGTATTATTTTGCTTGCATTTCCAGAAATATTTTCACATTCAAAAGTCAAAACAATTTAAGATACAGAAACAGATTTTAAAATGTTTATGTTGGTTAATACTAAACAAACTGATAATAAATGAAAATATAATCATAAATATAATTTTTAAAAATATGATTTAAATAAAATATAATTTTTATTGATATTAATATAAATATAAAACTAGTGTTAACAAAAAATAAATTGAAAGTCTTATAAACGAGAGATCTTAAAAATACTGAATAATAATAATACATTATAGAATAAAATATATATTTAAAAAACTTTAAAATATGTTCCAATTTATAAATTAGCTTGGATACTTTTCTATAATTTATTGTTGAGTCCAGGAGCTGATTAGGAATTGATAGCAGTCTTAAAACATCGAAATTCTCTTAAGACGGCTCCGAGTATGATGTGAATGAGAGTGTGGGTAATAGTGGGAGCGGAGTGGAAGTACATGTCGGCAAATTGAAGACAAATATGATAGAATGGGCGAGGGTAGTTTGATATACATTATAGGGTAGTATTGAGGTGATGGAGCAATTGTTGGGCTGGTAGTTGACTGAGTGGTGGTCGTTGGAGTGCCCGGATTTGGAGTAATGAAGGGTTCGTTTTGGTCAATACATGTCTTCT